GGGTTCTTGAGATTGAGCAGAGGCTGCAGTTGAGAGGAAGAAGACTAACGCAATGAGCCGATACATTTTAAAAATTTCCTATTCTTCTTCTTCTTCTTCTTCTCTTTCTTTTAGTTTGAACGTTTAGAAATGTGTTGTTTAAAGAGAGATTTTATATGCAAGTTCGGGATGGGGTGAGATTGAGAGTCAAGGAGGAGTTTTTTTGTTTTTTTGTTTTTTTTTACAGGTTTTGCGAGGGGGAGAGTTTGTGCCTTTAGAAGATTTTATCGGGTGGGCGATTGTGTAGGACCAACGAAGGGTGTTAGTTGGTTTTCTTTTTCTGGAAAGGGCTGTAAATAGTGCAAATGGTATGGGGACGTTAATATGTGGTGCTAGAGTTTTCCTAAATTTAGATGGCTGAAATATTGTAATTATATATATGGGTGTTTCTGGAAAGTATAGATGAGAATAGTAAGAGCACACAATGGGTATAATATTAGTCAATAGAATTCTAATCATCTAAACAATTTTAAAAACTAGCAGGACGAGAGTATATAATCAAACAATGTATCATCAAAAAGGTGATCGTAAAACCTAACATGTTAACATATCATGCATATCCCCATGTGTTGCGTTGATTATCACTTTTTTATTCAAGACAAATCACAATTGCAAATTAAAGATTAAATTAATGGTTGTGATTAAAATAGTGGGTTTTACGCTATCTTGTTATGGTGTGTAAGTTTTCCCATCTTCGTGGAGGCTACCTCTTGGCTCTTGCTACCTAATTTTTTTTTTTATCAACTACGCTGTGAAAAAGCAATCTACTATTATGTTAGGAGGGGTCAATTGCTTACGGACAATCACTAGACTAAGGCAACGGAATTCTTGATTAACTACATAAACATGTTGTAGGGTATGAAAAATGCCTCAAATAAACTTTTTGAGTATTCATTAGGTTATCTCAAGATGGATTTTAGAAGTGTTTTTTTAAAAATCATTTGCCAATTTATAAATATTCTCCTACTTATTTGTATCTAGAAGACAATGCAACGACCTAAATGAACACTTAAAAAAGTGCATTCATCATCAACTGACGAGCCTATAATGAGATGATAGAATTATTTGAATTTTTAATCTCCTCTTTTGGACTTAAGCTCGGTCCATGTACAAATACAGTACCAATTTTAATTAAGCGTCAAATGTTGATTTATTCAACGACACGGCCACGAGTGACCCAAAACAAACTAAACATCCAAGAAAGAGACCCAAGGTCCACTTAACCAAAGGCCGAGCCCAACAGAGAAAGAAAAACTTTTAAGAATTTGGCGCTCACCGTTTCTCCCTCCCCCTTGAAATCTTAACCAATCCACTTCCAAGACGACTCTTAAACCTCCCGTCCAAAGTTTTACCCTCATTATAAACACGCTCACATCCTCAAACGTTCAGTTGACTAGCCTTAAGTTTTATCCCCATTTATTTTTAGCAACCCACTTTTCAAACTCACTCTTGATCTTAATAAACAATTCATCAAATTAATTGTAAAATAACTTTATTTTTAACACATATGTTATGATGTTCTCATTCGCTAAAAAGCAATACATTGCCAAGCAACGGACATGTGTACCACATGCTATTTTCCAATCAAGTTGGCTGCCATAAACCAGTAGGGATGACAACTCAGCCGACATCCCCTCATGTCGACACGAAAGACGGTACTTGTCACCCCCTTTTGTCGAAAACGACTCACCACGAGCCCACTTGCCCATTTGCTGGACGCCTCGCGAAGACGACTCGAAAGGCGCTACTTCTCGAAGAAGTTAAAGATTAACTTCTGCCTCGAGCCTCTCCCACTGGCAACGTGTCAGCATCGCATTTAATGCATGGCAGGCGCATCATGCCTCTAGCCTCGATAGTCTTCATAACTCATCGGATCACGTGGGTCATTGCCCAGCCACCGCTCACTTCTCATTTTAATGCTGAAGTGATCCGTCCCTCAATCACTAGCCGACACTTGTAAAGCAAGTGCTGACGCAGCTGCAAGCCCACACTTCGCCACTGTCTCTCAGTTCTCGACCGAAGTGGCCAATCTACCATTATACCCTAGGTATAAATACAGATACTATTCTGTCTTTACGGGAGACCGAAGATCTGACCCTCCCCCCAGATCCTAATTTTTGAATTCTGATTCAAATTCTCTAAAATTGCAAATCATACTGCGCACACACAAGAACTCTCACAGTTTTTATTTACCTTACTCAAGTTCATCAGCTAACTTGATCGTCGGAGGTACAACGGGGGAACCAAGCCCCGTCCTCTTACGAATTTCTACATGTGCAGATTTTTCAGATTCCCAATTCAAAAACCAGACATAAAGTCGGGGAAGAAAACGGTCATTCATCAATCTTTAACAATCTCATCCAAACACAGATATATATTGATTTGTGATCACTATTACATCAACAAGGTATGAGTACATTATACTTTGCTACTTTTTCTTATAAATTGCTTAAGTTTTGTTCTAAACGTAGTGGGGCTATGTATTGTTGAATGAAATGGTTAAACATTGTTTTATTTTATTTCACTTTTTGCTTATAAACTCAAAATACTTTACCCTCCTTTATTTTAAACCAACACACTTCCGGAAAAGGTTCTTTCTCTGTGTAAACTCAAAACGTTACCCGATATTTTTAAGGGCTTTGCTTCGGTGCTCCTAAAATGGGTTATTAATTTATTTTAAAAAAAGGGTAAATTTGGAAAAACAAAAAAATCTTCGTCCCCACCAATTTCTCATCCACAGAATTCCATCAAACGCGTATAAATCCGTTTAAATAGAATCATAGGTGAATTACGCTAAGAAAATTCCTCAATAAAGATATCAACAAGAAATCTAACATGTGATTGAATGCGATACAAGGAAATTGGATCCGAAGAAAATCGACCATCAACCATGTTGATGAACTTAAACAAAGCAATCATGTTCATTCAAAATCTCAGTTGTTTAGTTGAAAATTAATCGAATGAAGGTTCCCAAGGCCTAAGAGAAAGCCAATTAATGCCGGGCTCATACATACAGTTCCTCCATGCAAAAACAATTTATTTCCAGTCAGATTGGCCCGGTGGCGACACTCATGATCTCAGGCTCAATACTCTAGAGAAAGAAGACGCTCGTATGAAGTATTTCATAGGATCGATGACCATATCAAAAATTAAATTCCATTAGGTTTGGTCATCCGCGCAATGAATTAGGCGATTGGAGAAAAAAACCACATCAAAAAAATAAAGACCCCGAGAGTTTTTCATTAGTTGGAGAATTCTAACTACTTCCTATTTATCTTCTTATTTATACTTTCTAAAATAACTTTTTTATCTAAGTGAAATTACTTTTTTGGGTGTGGAACCACTGTCAACTACCTTATCCACTTTTTTGGGTGTGGAACCACTGTCAACTACCTTATCCCTCAAATTTAGGATGTGAGAGAGATTTTTAAGGAAACAAACTACACCAACAGGATGTGAGAGAGATTTTTAAGGAAACAAACTACACCAACTGCTTGGGAGCACCGAAGCTGTTGGCTATTTTTAAACCTACCTACTTTTAAAATTGAAATTAGACACAAAACTCCCCTCAATAAATTTAAAACTTACTTTTTTGACATACGATGTTGTTATATTTTGGTTGGAACTTTTGATGTTTTCGTTCCAAGGAGTTATATGTCTAGTATATTTTTAAATCAAATTCTTAAAATCAAATTGCGAATAGTAGATTGATTTTTTTGCCTATAAACTCAAAGTTTAGACCATTTTTTTTAAACCCACCCACACACAAGATCACTCTAAGCATCTCCAACAGCTTCCCCATCTTCTTGGTATTCTAAAATTTGGAGAATTTTGAGCTTTTTTTTGGTCCAACAGATTCCCCATCTCATTCCCTAAAATGGGGATAGGTGAGAAAAAATAGAGAGCCTTCCCCAAATCTGCAGCATTCTGCAAATATTTGGGGAAGCACTTTTTCACGTTCTTCTAGACTCAACCCACAAAAAACAACTCCATCTCCTCATTATAATAATAAATAATTTGGTCAAAATGGGGATTCTTCAAAATAATAAATAATTTATTATTTATTAGTCAAAGATGTAGAATATTTTTATTATTGTAATAAATGCATGATTCTTCAAAATGGGGAAGCTGTTGGAGTTGGAGCAAAAATAATTTGGAGAATATGACATTTGATTCTCCATTTTGGAGAAATTTTTGGGGAAGCTGTTGGAGATGCTCTAAAACGAAAAATATGTATACATAATTAATGTCAAACCACTTTGTATTTCAACATCTAGTATAAGTTGCAACTTGTTTATTTTACTGTAACTTACATTTTTTTATTCTAAGTGGTTAGGCATACAATTTACTTTTAGACTGAATGTTTAAACCATTATTCTATTAGTTTTTTTTACATTAATATCGCAGCATGCCGCAAATCAATTTTTCTTGTTTTCTCTAAACAAATCATAACATAATGCTTTAAAAAATTGGAGCAAAAGCATATGAAGATAACTTCTAGGTGCATCACAAAATAATTCTTAAATAATTTTAAAAATCCTCCAACTTACTTCCTAAAAAACCAATGGTCATTTCCAAATGAATGCTTGGAGAAGAAAGCACTAAAAAAAATTGCTTATCGTCAATTTATGAGTCTAAATGAGAACATAGAGAGTTACACTAAACAAATTAGATAATGGGCTGGGCCTAATTGTACATTTCAGAGTAGGGCCAAATCTTTTAAAACTGTTTTTTTTGTTAATAATCAGCCTATATAAAGGCCGAGAGCCCAGCAGACCACTAAAGCCTTCAAGAATTCAGAATAAGAAATCTCCCGCTCGCCATTTCCATCTTCTTGAAATCTTTACTCGATCGGTCTACCCCATGGCCGGCGGCGGCGACGGCGACGAAGAGGATATTCTCAATAGCCTCACCGTCAGCGAGATGCTTCTACCAGCAGAGTCCGCCGCGGGGAGTTATCTTCACCTGCCGTGACTTTCGAGCTCGGATGACACAGGGGTGCTGGGGCGATCGCATGGTGGACGCGAGGGACGCAGAACTGGAAAGCGGAGCTGGACATGTACGGACGGCATGCATGGAAGCTGAGGCTTGTTCTGCGATCGCGTGGACCGGATGCCACCCCCCCGCCCAGGGTTTAATGCTCAGGTGGATTTCTTCGACCCAGCCGCGGCCGCCGCGTGCAGGGAAGGGATGGGCCAGGGAGGAAGGTGGGGCGGGCGCACCACGGTTTGTGGGGCGGACGGCTCCGGGCGGCCCAGCAGTGGCGCCCGGCCGTGCTGTACCGGCGAGCGCCCGCGGCTGCGGCGCCCGCAGCCGCCCGGCGTGGTGCAGCTGCGGAGAGCTCGAGGTTTCAGGACGCAGCCGGTGCGGGCGAAAGCGGGACGGGGAGGTGGTCCCCTTCTGGAATTACTGGCGGGAAACGCTGTCAGGGGATGTGGGCCCACGGCTGCCTCCTCGCCCGGGGATGCATGGTGGAGCCACTCCTGGCGTCCGGTGATTGTGGGGCCATGGCGTCCGGTGGCCGTGCCCTCGGGTGCGGATCCCCATGTCAACCCGGCGATGTTTGGGATTTGGCCGCCGCCGGGGTCAGCGTAGGAAGTAAGTTTTTCTTCTGCTGTTCTTGTTTTTCTTCTGCTGTTCTTGTTTTTCTTGGGTCTATTAACTATTATTTGATTTGGTTTCTTGGAAATTCTAAGTGCTTAGAATTAGATCTTTCGAATTTTATATGCGCATGTGCTACCCGTTCGTCTTTGGTTGATATGCGTGGATATTTTATTGCATTTGTTGAAATAATAACATTCTCTCTTTGCTGATGTATGAATCAAGAGTGGAGGAAACCGTGATCTAAATAAATAAAAAAGGAGTAGAGAAGACCCAGTTCTCTTTAATAATGTACAATTTTAAGATTGAGTAGCAACAAACTATTAACTTTTCAGAACTCAGGCATTGTATATTTGTAGGGAATTCTCTTCCTTTTGGGTTTCACTTCTTTGTAGTAGTACAACTTTGTATAACTTTATTTTGATGTTGCTTTTTAGTGCTTTGCTATGCGTCTGGAATTTCTAATTCAACTCTTTTTTTCTTCTTCTTCTTTTTTTTCCCCTTCTCAGTTTCTGTACATCTGCCTACATCTCTGAGCTAAGCTGTTGTTGTCGGCGAAAACATGTCAAATGTGGATTATGTGCCTAAAGCTTCAAAAGAGAGGCATGTTTGTACCTCTAATTTGTTCTGCCTTCAGCACTAGAAAAGCTCTGGATGGATGGCGAGTCAGAAGGAAGCTATTCTTGGGATGTCCATATTGTTCTTCTGCAAGCGTAAAAGAGCATTGTATTAGAGTTAGCGTCGGAGAAATTCTTTTTTCCCCCTGTAATAAGAGTGTAGTCTTGTGTCTGTTCCCTTGTTCTTCGAAAATACACCTGTAATTACCATACCTCATACTAGAACAAGTGATTGTGATTGCTGGATCAGGAACATACCTAATTTCGCTGTTTTTTCCTTCAATAGCTGGAAGTCCTCTGCATATCTTAAGCTCCGCTATTAACATAAATCAGGGCAGCAAATAGTACCCGAAATTGATGTGAAGATTACTGACAAATGGGCAGTGAAATTTGTACTCTAGATATATAATGCCCATGATCTCTGTCAAAGCAAAGTTTATAAAATTTTCTCCGAAATTGAATACAATTTTTCAGGAAGTCAATGCAGGTTCTACCCTGACGATTTAACAATCCCTTTGCATCTCAATACCAGACTGTTTCAAGATGAAGTACAAAAAACGATATGAACTTCCATATCTGCGAAAAGGACTAATACAAACACATTAACCATTACACTATAAATTAAGCGTCCAGTTTATGGAAAAGTACCAACGAAACCACTATGTGCAGTGATACAACAACCCGCTAATTACTGCTGCTGGTTCAAAATGCAAAAGCCTGAAGCCTTTGTCTGGCTTCAGCTGCTATGGCTAATGATTCATCACTTGGATTCTCCTTTGCAGCAGCAAGAGCTGCCAAGTAGTGGCTTCGTGCCTCTTCCATTTGCATCAAATCCATCTCATCAACACTATCCTGCTTGAATCCAATAGCAAAATAATTAGCAATCACTAATAATCGGTCAAAACATTATCTACTTAATTTAAGAGTAATTAGCTATAGTTATGGCAGCCTGATTACTGACAATAAGATGATCTCTTTCAAAATTGAAGATTGATTTAAGTAGGCTTCTTCCTTAATGAGAATAATCTCGTGTTGGCAAGTTCAAATGAGAAAGATCCTTAAGCCTTTTAATTCCAACACTCAATATGCCAAAGTTACAAGCTCATTCGGCTGTACTAAGCATGTGAAAAGTCCACTTTCAGAAGAAGATATTTGACGCGTGAATGAGCAGTCAGGGTATCTAGATCAACATGCATCAATGAAATAATTTTGGTACTAACCCTTAAATTTAGATTATGACTAGGCTAGCTCAGACCGACATCTGCACTTTTCCAGATTACAAGATTGGACAAATTTTGAAAAACGACCCTTTTTTAAATTTAATAGGCAAAATCGACCCTGTAACAAGAAAATGGGCAAAATCGACCCTTTTTTACACGGGACTAGTAGTCCCGTGCAAAAATGAGTCGCTTTTGCTAAAAGTTAATCCGACCCCCTTCCCCCAAAAAAAAACTCTGACAAGCCTGCTTTAATCCCAGACCCACCTCACTGTCACATCCCTCCTCTCCCTCCCCTTCCCCTCCTCCCGCCTCCTCAAGTCCTCCCTCTGCCTCTCCCCCCTCCCCTACTCCCTCCTCCTCTTCCACCTCCTCCCCTCCCCTCCGGACCTCTTCTCCCTCAACCTCCTCCTCTCCCACCTAACTGTCTGATCAGCGGCTATGCCGCGTGCTGGGTCGTCACCGACGCGCGCCGGGTGTTTGATGAAATGGGGAGCAGGGACCTGGTCTCGAGGAACGCGATGCTTGACGGGTAGGTGAACGTTGGGACCTTGGGGCGGCGAGGGGGTGTTTGACCTGACATGAAAATCCATGCACTTCGCTAAAACGCCGCTGTTGCGGAGGTCGAGACAGTGGTGGATGCTCACGGCGCTGAAGGGGCGACGGCATGGAGGAGACGCTGGTGGGGACGACTGCTTGGAGATGGGCTCGGCTGCGGGCGACGGTGAAAAGGGGGTGCTGGGGCGTTGGCGATGGTTTTGAAGAGAGAGAGAAACGATGGATACGAAAAGGAGAGAGAAAGATGTTGACTTTGCAAAAGCAACCTTTTTTTGCACGGGACTACTAGTCCCGTGCAAAAAAGGGTCGATTTTGCCCATTTTCTTGTTACAGGGTCGATTTTGCCTATTAAATTTAAAAAATGGTCGTTTTTCAAAATTTGTCCTACAAGATTCTATCCAGTGTTTACGATATCACTATCAGTACCAGCGTAATACCTGTTCACCCTTCTAACTGTCTGGAGTTTTGACAATGTTTACAGTTATAAACCAGAATGTTCATGGATATCCATCATTTTTCTATGAACAGTGTAATCCCATTCATATTAAATAAAAGGTTAAATTATCATACTGATTTTAGATTCTTGAACCATAATGTAGATGAGATTTGAATCTAATTGATGCAACAGAGCTAAGAGAATGCATACTTGAAAATGAGTTGATAGCTTTTCCGTCCACATGGGTATCCATCATTTTTTTATAAACAGTGTAATCCCATTCATATTAAATAAAAGGTTAAATTATCATACTGATTATAAATTCTTGAGCCATAATGTAGATGAGAGTTGAATCTAATTGATGCAACAGAGCAAAGAGAAAATGCATACATGAAAATGAGTTGATAGCTTTTTCGTCCACATGGATGAGTTCATAGGTCATTATTCTTAGGAGCATATCCAAGATTTGAGCTATTCATGGTACCTTCATAAAAGTGCATTTACTTAACTTGTGTTAAGAGTATAAATTTATAAACTCTCACCACAACTTTGGGGTTTTGATATATTTGTAGGGTCATTTGACAACTTGCAGCTGCATATTTTTTATATCTAGCATATATCAATATCATAACTGATTTTGCACTATCCACAGCATACTTTTAAGGGTAAACTGCACAATGCACATTAACACCCTCATCTATACCTTGAGTGGCAGTAAACCCCCCTCAACTCATTTATTAGAACTTGACCACCCTCAATTAATGAAAAAGAGGGGTGTTATTTATAATTTATCTTCCTAAAAATTACCCCCACCCCCACCCCCACCCCCCATCCCTCTAAAAAGAAGCTCATTTATTAGTATGTAGCCTCCCTCAATTCATGAAAAAAGGGATGTAACTGGCTATTTATCTTTCTAAAAATTGCATCTCAAGGGTGCCAAGTGCCAGTAAATGAGTTGATGAGGTTTACCGCGACACATGATTTAGATGAGTGGTTCATGTGCAGTTTACCCTAACTTTAACATTCTAGCATGAGCCCCACACAGATATATGCCTTACTTCATACGGGAAAAATGAATAAGGAGCTTACTATAGGTGAAATATGTTCAAAATAATGTAAAGAAGTTATCTTATCATCAGACGATGCAGCTGTACTATTCTTCGACAGTTCTTCAAATATCTGCATCAGTGCAGTTATCTCTAAGTCCATAGAAACAAACTCATCTTGAAGTTCCTCAGCTTTTCTATTTGACATCTTTGTCTCCCACTCCAATTTCTCCAGAGCTGCTTGCTTGTCAGCAAGCTTAATCTGCAGAAAAATGCGATAAAATTATGTCGCAACAAATAGCCAATACTTTTATCAGATAAGTTGATGTATAATGGGAAGCAATGGCAGAGCTATGCTAGTGGTTGGGAGGGCCTTGGCCCCCAAAAATTTTGAAACTTTTATGCATTAGGCTATATTAATATCTTAGTGGAATATTGTGTTGAGTGGCTATATATTATAAAGTCTGTTACCAAAGAGGTAACAAAAGGATGCAGGCCCAACTAGAAGAATAGGAACCCAAGCTAGAAGTGTTGTTTTGGTTGATAAGTGACGCGTGAAATGTCCTTTAGCCTCTATGTGCGGAATCCAAGCTAGCAAAAAACAAACCCTCGAACAGAGAGCGGCTATTCCCTAAGGGGATAGGGAGGAGAGGGAGAGGGAGTGGGAGAGGGAGAGAGACTATTCCCTAAGGGGATAGGGAGGAGAGGGAGAGGGAGTGGGAGAGGGAGAGAGAGAGAGAGAGAGAGAGAGAGAGAGAGAGAGGCATTACGACTCGCATGGTGTTCAATTCCATCGACTCTAGAGGCATCTTCATTAGCACAACTACTCGGTTGAGTATCCTGTTCCGAATTCTTCACAAGTGTTGGAGATTTTTATTGAGGTGGATCTTAGGTGTGCGTTTAAATCAATAGATTTATTATGTAAATTTCCAATGTCATGCAACTCTCTTAGGTTATACCCTTCCTAATGTTTAACTAGTTTAGTTTTAGTTCAGATAATCCACATCATGAACTGTTGAATTTTTCTTTATAAAAAATAGTGATGACAATCATTTAGAGCTAAATATTGATCCTTCAACTCCCATAGATGATAGAACATCCTCCCAAACATCAAATAATTCACCATTCTCCAATAGAACATTCTCCCATAGAACTTAATGTACTTCCCTTTCTATTGTTTTATACGGTCATAGGGCTTCCTGTATTTGCATTCTATCATGAACATCTCTGAATGAAAAAAACATACAAATTTGATCTGAAGTTAGTGTTTCTTTTCTGCAATAAATTAGAGTAAATTTAGGCATCGATTCTTGCCCCCCTCCCAAGATATTGTTTCTGGCTCCGCCACTAATGGAAGGGTGATATAAAGTGCAATTTCAAGTTCAAGTTTCTATGAGGTGATAACACATAGGAAGATGTCTACATTGTGCTTATAAACTTAGACAAGAACCAAACAAATGGTTAGGAAAATCTGAACGTTAAGCAGCCACATAACTTGACCATTACCCAAAGTGAGAGATAAGCAGAATAACTTTATGCATTACTAAATGTAACAATCAACCATCTAAAACAGAAACAGGCTATTATTCCAGAACTAATTAAGGTATGAGGACGAAATACCAACTGCTTGCTAAGGAAGGTTGCGAATTAAAGTAACCATTTTAATTAGAACTAATGCATCACTCCATTTGTCAGTGAACATTACATGTCCTTTGAATTTCCAACCAATGTAATTTGCTTAAATTAAATTAATGTAAATGGTCGCATTTAAAAATCTAAAGCAACCCCTGTAGGCTATAATATCTCAGTGTGCATACTACACTGAAGTACCATACAGGGATGCTTCCCATTCTTTGGAGGACTATGGTTTCAACATGTTGCAAATCCCCAAAAATAAAAGCTTTGATAGATGCACATAATCAGTAACTGCAGCCACAAAATTTTGCTATTAAAAGCAGAACATGCATAAAAAATTTCACAATTGCATAGAGGTGAATACTAAGACCTTGTAAGATAGAAATCAAATTTTCACAGTTAACAGAAGTGAGCAGAATCAATACACCTTGCATCTTTAGCTACCCACGACTTTAAATTGGGATTCTTGCAGATCTCTTACTTCTAAAGTCACTTAATCAAATGTCAACTATAAAGTGATAAACTAGCAGTAATTTGAGCTCACTCGAATACTAGATATACCTTTGCATTGTATAATTCTGAATTAGCTGATTTTATCAATGCATCCTTTTCCGCAACCTGGTGCCTCAATTCATTAATTGAAACATAAGCCATGTTCATTTGCTTTGCTGAATCCTCTGCAGTTTTTAGTGCTTCTTCTTTCTCCAATAATTTCCTCTGCAGGCTATCTACCTGTTCCCTCAACAAAGTTAACTCAAACCTATCCTTCTGAACATTTTCCGAGCAGTCATCCACAGAGCCACCTTGGTTACCATGTTGGAGCTTGTTTCCATTATCCCTTTGTTTCTTACCAGGAGTTGTCTTTCTAGATCTGGAATCAGAAACCTGCAAAGAAAATCAAATCAACTCTTATGAAGTTTCTTAACACTGGAAGGTCGTTAGCAAAAGAAAATATTAATTTTGAAAATAGTGTCCTAATTACACTGGTCTAGTATACAGTACACTGGTTAAATGATGTCCATGATGTAAATATTTTTCAGGTAAAGCGACCACATTGAGTCCTCACTTAATGGTTCATCACCACGGATTAATAAACTTCAAATTGTAATTAACTTTCATAGAACAAAACTTATGGTATAAACGTATAACAATAGAAAAATTGATTATCATTAACAGCCAAATAGCAAATAAATAAGAGGGCAATAGAAAAATTGGTTACACTAAAACCAAGATGCATCGACCATTATGCAATCAATTAAAAAGATTGTGCAAAAATGAACATCAAGACAGATAGCTCCAGTTATATGCCAATACATACAGCGTAAATCAATTCAAGGTTGAAATTTGGATCTGGATAATAATTTCAATAAAGATCCTCATTAGTTTTGGAATTAATATACCTGATAGCTTATCGGTTTTAAGTTTCAATATGTTTATATACAATGTCACAAACATGATAATGTGGCCCAAATTTTTGAAGGGACATGCTTTTGAGATGCCAATGCATTAGCATATGGATAGATTTGACCTATTAGCATACTTATAAATTCGAGCTATTAGTATGTAGTTAGATTCACAGGTTTTGGTAATAGCATAACGGTAACTTTATATTTCATTTTCTTAGTGGTTGCTCCTAAAATTGTAAACGTTTTCAAAAATACGAATTAAATATTAAAAAGCTGATATAAGTTCCAGTAAAGTGGGGATAAGGTTTGAATGGTTAGTGCCTATTGGATTTTGGATCGTTAACGAATACCCTAAAGTCTTAAAATATCAAACTTTGATACAGATACAGTAGGTACATGACGCAATCGTGAACACTTTCCACCCTATCAGCACTAATGGAAGTAACATACCCCAAAGAAAAATCAAATAAATCATGAAATGTTAATCCCATCATAACTACAACATTATACAAATCCAATGCAAGAACTAGCTCCGTATTTGTTTCTTATAAATACAAGTGCTGAAGTTTTCTGAAATTACTGTACTTGATTTTTTGACGGCAATGCTTTACATTTTTCCTGCAACCATTAAAGGCGCAGTAAACAACAGGTGGATACATTTGATCACACTGTTGCTGAATTTGAGCTAGGAGATAGAATTGAAACACTTACGAAAGTCCAAAGATTTTTACATATTGAAAGTGGCTATAACAGCTAAATTAACCAATTTAGGCATAATTTTGGGGTAAAATTTTCAGCTTTTAGATTGTCCACCAAGGTGTCAGTACTCAGCTGTGAAATTTCTTTTAAGATACACCCACTTAAATAAAAAAATTTGAGAATGCCATGGTGCGCTTGGATTTTAATCAAGTAAAAATTCACAAATTTAATTAAAATTTTGAAATAAATTAATATATGCATTCATTAGCAATAAAACTAAAGTCTCCAGATGAAGCGGATTATTAAACAAAATTCAAGTAAATTTGAAGGAAAAAAATAATTCACATTTTGTAATGAAGCAATCAATTGGCGCTACAAAATCAAATTCAAATCCAAAGCTCTCACCTTCTTCAGTTGAGCAGGAGTGGGAGTGTAAACCATCGACGCTCTCCTAGTAAAAGACGAATTTGCCCTCCTATCCTAAAATCCACACACAAAACAAGTAAACCCTCAGCATCGACCAAAGTTCCCAAAAACCATAAAATTTTATTCACCGGTTTATCTCACTGACCATGAGGGATTCGACGAGGGGAACCATTTCGACGAGGTTTTTGAAGAGGACTTTGTCGACATTGCCCCCGTTCACGGGGGCGCTATCGGAACTCCGGCCTCTGTCGGCCGTTGCGGAGTTCCGGTGATCCTGCGGACCATCGAAGCGGCGTTGAGTCTCCAGCGTGGCCGGCGGGGAGATTTGTGAGGGGTAGGATGGGAATTTGGAGGAGAAGGAAAGGGGGGAGACTCGGAGAGGACTGTTTTCTTATTTTTGGGAAAGAGAGTAACGTCGAGAGATAAATTACAGGACTGCCACTGTCGTGTAATCACGATCGACGAGGGCCAGCCGGCTTAATTTAATTTTGTGATTTTACTAAGGATGGAAGGTTAAATAATGGAAAAGAAATACAATCAATCAAAGTGAAAAGATAAAATATTGTTTAGGAATTGGAGAAACGAAAATAAATTTGTTTTATCTTTTTTGGGAGTTCTAATAAAGATAAAAAAAATAAAGTGAATATGTAAAAAATTACATAAATATCTTTACATATTGAATGTAAGGTTATAATTGTCTTATCACATTGTAAAATTTTACTTTAACTTCCGTCAATTAATCTTCATCCAAACAAAGTGCAAGTATTTGAATTGTTTATTTGGTGGGCCTTTCTTCGGCTACCCCACCCAAAATGCCCTTTTCGACAAGAGTTTCGAAATATCCTCCTCCGGATTTTTCCAAATTCACATTCCAATATAAATATCTTTCGTATGTTCTCAAATATCACTGTGTGCTTATTTGATTTCTAATTCATAGTTTTTGAATATTAAATTACAGGACTAAAAGTCTATTTTTATTTGGTTAAAGAGTTTTGGTTTAAAAACAAATAGATTTTTTAAGTTTGTCAAAATTAGAATAAATCTTAAAAAACAAAATCTACAAGGGGAAAAAATAACATCATTCATATAAGGATACAAATTATAGGACAAAAAATATTAAATGAATAGTCATAATCAAATGGATTGAATATACAACTGATAAATTCTATTTGTTTATGTCGAATTTATTTAATGTTAAATGAACTACCGAATAGCTGACAAACAATTAGCAAACTATTTGTTAATTATTTAGTTCATTCTCAATCCTATTTAGAAGTAAGATTATTTTAAATAATATTTTATTTTATTTTTGAGAGATTTACACTTTTAAATCCACGTGGAAGTTATTAATGCTTTATGGAGTCACCTAGATCCGTGTGGCAGGTAAGGGGACCGGTTAAAATTAAAAAGGCAAAAGTCTCTTTGTTTAAAATTCTTAAGCTAATTTGGATGCTTATTTTCTTTTATATATATATTTTAAAAATTGATCTTCTTCCTCTCATGCTGTAAAGCTTAGCAAAAGTAAATAAATATTGTGATCTACTTTATCTTTTGGATGTTCCTGTCTTTCTTCATTTTGAATTCGTGGTACTTTACTTACCAATAAGATACACATGAATTTGTTCTTGATTTTTTTTTGCCTAGACACGTCCATATGATGACTAAATTAAATCAATGATTTGGATCATCAATATGAAATCTAAACATATGAGCTATTATTTATATACACTCACATATGAGGAGATTCTATCTTCGTAATATTTCATATTCATTGGATTCTAATTAAATGCTAGGAAATATATTTAGTAAATACAAGCGCTCGTAATTGGTGTAAATCCCTAACAGAAAAACATCAAGTGCCTTCGGCTTCTCCTTGTCACAAGCAAAGATTCCCTACATCCTTGATTGTTGAGAACTTCTATAATTAGTTATGTTACAATAATATTGGCTCATTGAATGGGATTCGGATCATTTTCCGTGAAAAAACAATAGCGGAGAAACCACTACATTATCATAAGCATTGATTATCTAATGAGTGGTTATGATTTTTCTCCGAGTACAGATTAAGAATGAGTGTGATTCATGGGAAGTGTGCCGAGTGTCCTATTTAGAATGTAGCGGTTGATAATTTTTTTTATATAATTTATATAATGATTGCCATGGGGTTTAATGAATGAAGAGAGACCTTATTCGTAATAATGTGCAGGATCTCTACCCCTTATCGCTCATCGTGTACCGTAAGATGAGAACCGTTATGATTGAATACGTAATACGAGGAAGCTAAGCTGAAATTTTAAGAGCTCATTAAATGTTCGGCATGTTCACGGGAAAGGAAATAAGAATCCCAAAAATTCGGGTCTCCACATATTATACAACCACGTGTCGTGTTATTGAGACTGCCCGACGCTGAAAAAGATTTCTTTTAACTTGGTCCACCACCAACTCCAACCTGTGCATCTTCATTTGCTGGCTTATCACTGTCTTATTGGCCACTCTTTCTCTCTCAAATCTTGTTGATTTTTAAATTACGTTTTGATGGTGAGAGTTGGAGAATTTTATACGTACGGGTTGTCATTTATCATCATTTCGTTTTTTTTTTAATTAAAGCGAAAACTCGCAATCTTGATTTTTTTTTTTACCATTCTTGAGAGGTTTTATCACTTGTTAGGTTACATCTGAAAGAAATGTTAGCGTCATCTTAGGAGTTTTTAGTTCCTAAATTTATTTACGACGGTAAAATTGATTTGTAACTTGTGTATCTTTGGTAAAATTGTTTATTACCTTTTAGATTTTTTGTATGTCATGCGGGCTATTGGTTACTGCAGGAAGTTAATCCAGATGGTTACACTCATCGATTATTGAACACCGATGAAAAATTCAAAAATACAGATCCTCTCCGATTATACGGTAGTTAGAGCGTCAAATTTCTCCAAACAATACGAGGTTAGGGCACGTATCATTTCAATTTTGCCTTTTAAAATCATTATTCTTTAAAACCGTTATACAAAAATAGTAGCAAAGTTAAAATTAATAAATTGTTATTTATAAGAATAGAATGATTTAAACTTATTGATTCAGCCATTATATCTCTTAGCTTACAACACGCGCCAGTTAAAACCGAGGGACAGCTATCCTTTTAATAAAAACAAACATCACAGTGTATAAATTGATTTAAACGCTTTCGTTAAAAACCAGTGAAACGTTCTAAAGTTCTTTTATTTCAATTACTCTATTCAAGATTTATATCATTTAGCAAGCGTTAACCAAAAGAAAAATGATACAGACACATCCTCGGACACACCTCCGATCACCCCCCTCTAGCTATAGTGCAGATGGCCCCACTTGAGATTTTTTTAAGGAGGTGTTTGGTTCAATTTCTAGAAATTATAGGAAATGTTTTCCACTTAAAATATGATTTCCTTGTATTTCTTAAAAAAATTATAGAAAAAATTTTGAGAAATCAAAAAGTACTAATTTTCTTTTTCTTTTTTTTTACTTTCCTTGTTTGGTTCAAAACAAGAAAATGACTCATAACTTTATAGAAAATAACAAGATTTGGTAAGTTTTTAATTAAATATGGTATGTGTCAGATTTCTGGTGATTTCCTCTCATTTTGAGAGAAAAATTGTTTTTTGTAAAATTTGATAGGTTTTGATATTTTATAGAAAATATTTCTGTAAATTTTTTGTTGAACCAAACACAATTTACAGAAATCTCTGGAAAACTTTTAATTACAAATTTGTCATTGTCAGATGTTTTAAGAAAAATTTTCTCAAAAAGTGTGCAACCAAACAGCCCTTAAATCTAAGTGGGGTCCCCTGCACTGCAGCTAGGGAGGTGGCCCTCCCAAACCAAAAATCATATAAATTACCAAATAAATTAATAAAGCACTGTTTGCTGTTACTGGAAATTTAATGCGGATGGTTGCTGCATACGTTAGGGGTCCGATACAACACGATTCAGTCAAACTAGAATTGAATGGTTGAGATGATGATAAGAAATGACATATTGTTGTGATAAGGAACACGAGGATGTGTCTACAGAGGAGTCAGTGCAACTCCTCCCAAGTCCCGAGGATCTCACGCATCGTTGCGTTGCCTGCGCTCATGAACAAACACGCAAGCAAGCCGAAGCGCGATCTTAGCCAAACGATCTTCTAAAGCTCAAACCTGCATATTTTCAGCCCGAGCAAGGTGTTACGGTAGAAATTAACTAATTTTTAGGCTAAATGGCGCTTACATACCATAAAATTTCCCCATCGTGGCAATTAAATACCACAAACTGTAAAAAGCGACGCTTTAATGCCCTAAGTTATTAAAAAGTAGAAGTTTAATATCATAAGTTGAAAAAACAGGCACTCGAATATCCTATTATTTCATCATTTCTACACTTAAATACCCTAAATTACAAGAAAATAGTAATTTGATGCGCTGAGTTGTAAGAAAATAGCACGTTAATGTCATAATTAAATTGGCATTGAAACATTCCCAAGAATTTTCCCGTAAAAACTAGCAAAAAGGTACTAATGTGCTAATATTTTACTAACTTGCGATATTAAAAGTACCATTTTCTATAACTTAGTATTCAAGTGTCACGCTACGAAAACTTTGCGGTATTTCAATGCCGCATTCACCAGAGCGGCGTCTAGAAGGAATTGACCAAGGGCGTTAACTCGAGCGACATGAAATATGATGCGAGGTTTTTTTTTGGACCGTTGCGTATTCTGGTCCTTGGACAGAAATATGATGGAATTAAACCGTACGTTACTAGCGGAGGAAGGCGAGCCTGAGCGTTCATTTGGAAAGTAGCACCTCGGATTGGATACAACCGCTGTTTGCTGTACATCCTCAGGCACAAGATCTCCGCCCGCAAGAGGACAGCGCCGCGCTCGTGCAACACCTGCGCTTCGCTCAGCACCCCCCCCTCCCACCGACTGACGCCTCATCGCTACGATTTATTACCCCCTTTTCCGTGTCAAAGCCTATCCCTCGAAACCTCACCCGTCCCTGCTCGCCACGTCACCACCTTCAATGTTCAGTGCCAGCTGGCAGCACCTGGGACGATCCGGAGTGTTCCCTCGTACAACATGCTCTGCAGCTGATCGTATCCCCTCCGCTGCGCCCCCCTCTAAACTCCCATGGCAGCGAGGGAGTTTTGAGTGCGAGAGCGACTTATTTGATGCTCCTAGTCTTGGACAATTAATAAAATAAGCAAGGCCTTTTTTGCAAAAAAAAAAAACAAGACAACAATTTCGGATCTGAAACTGTAAAGGTTGACACCCATTAATTCACTCTCCCCAGCTGCTTAACTTATATTTATAATTAGTTACAGGAATAAAAATAGTCAAAGCTCATGAGTTTATTTTTTTTGAGATTTATTGAATTTTTTTTTGTTAAAAAATCGAAATCTGACAATTACCAAATATCTCGCCGAAAATTTTGTTCTTTCTACGTTCTCTTTGATCCGATTTCCATTCTTATCTCGACTCAAATTTCAAGAAAGATCGCAGAAACCCTAGCCCTAACCCTAGGACCTAACGTTAATAAATTCCATTAACCCCACAACCTGTTGAGGTGTTAATCGAAATGAATGCGAGACTTGGTGAGATGTCAAAATCTTCCCAATCGCTATTTTTTGGACCTATTTAATTCCCGCATTTAATGAACTGTGCAAATTGCCCCTCTGAAATTTAAAAATTGCAACTAGGCTCTCTCTCCCTTCTCCCATTGACTTTCTTCGTTCTCACGTTTCGGCAATGATGACAGCCCCTCTTTAAAGGATTAGAGTAGAATACCCACCTCCTCACATTTGCCAGTTGCCCTTTTTTTTCTATTTTTTAATTTATTATTATTTTTATTTTAAAATTTTGGTAGAAACTTCTCAAAGCCGTGGAAATAAGAGTTATTTAGTAGATCCCAGGCCTCGGTTTGTGGCGAATCTGGATTTGCTATTACTTAATTTGATCAGGTTTGTTTAGCTTTATGTGGGTCTCTTTTATTTTTATTATTATATTTTTTTAAATTTTATTTTTTTAAACTTATTGTGTGGTATGGAAGTGGGCAGGATTATCAATTTTTTTTTTCCTGTGGGTTATTTTAGCTGTTAATGCTATTTTTTGATCTTGGTTTCAGAGTGAGGGAAATGGGTCTTTTGGGTTTGAGGATCAGAGGAAGCTGAAACGGTAAGTTCCTTGTGATCTATTTTTCTGTCATTTCTACTTTATCTTAATGTTTGTTTTCATAGTTATTTACTTGATGTTAGTTTCTCTCTTTGCGAGGTTATTTGAGGATTGCTTTTGCTAAGAATATATTTGCGATTGTTGGGTGTCAAGTTTTAAATGGTTTTAAATTGTCATCATTTGCGTTGCAGAGATGAGAGACCCTTTATCCTCTGGATCCTAAAAAGAGGAATTATGGTTCTTTTGATTTCTGATATTAGGATTTTTGTTTTTCTCTCTCTTCACTGATCTATAATTCCCCTTGCCTTGACCATTCATTAATTTCTTAAAGTTTTGAAAGATTGAATGAGTTTGAAATGCTGAGAAATTTGTAGATTTCGATAAAAGTAGAGATTGAGGTCTAGAGAAGGTAGATGTTCAGATGAACCTTTTCAGTTTGAAGTATCAAGCTACATGGTTTGTTATGCTGTTAATGATATGAAAAACTTGCATCACGGAGATGAGTTTGGTTTCATTTTATGGCAGCACCTTATCATTATTCAGTCAGTGTTTTAGGGTCATTTCATTTTGATATTGTTCAGTCTGGGTTTTTTAGAGAATTCCATGATAGCCTATAGTTTTCAGTTATTCCTAGCTGGAAGTTCTTCAGTTGTATTCATGTTGGCGCTTGGAATTATTAATAAATATTTGTTTCTGTCCTGAATTTGTCTCATGGCAAGTTTTTGTTTTGTTTTGTTTTGTTTTGTTTGTTATTTTTTGTTTTGTTTTTTGTTTTTGTTTTTGAGGAATGTCTCATAGTAAGTTGGTGCATTCAATTCACTAGTTTCTTGTCTTGAATGTACTTTCCATATGATAAGACATGTACTCCCTTCTTAGGTTATATCTGAAGTGTTATTTGGTACTAAATTACATGGGATAAAACATTTTACCCTCTGAAATCTACTCTGTACTTTGAATTTGATATTGTTAAAAGATAGCCCCTTATTTGTTCTCTTATAATGCTTGAATTCCAAAAAGCATTTGAAACTTCAACAGTACATTGGTGAGGAACACTGTATCCTGTAAAGTATACTTTGCAATGTGAGTTTGCTAATACTTCAATAGCCAATGATTTAAGGCTCAGGCCTTTTTCTCCACCCAATTTTTTTAAAAGAATAATACTGATATCAAACAGCAAGCTTTTGCTCTGTTTTAAAATTTGAGATTAGAAAAAGCTCCCTTACCTCATCAGAATAAGGCCTGTAATACTATCTATTGTAGTTGTTTGTGTAGACTGGACAATTAGTACCTTGTTTCAAGACCTGACCATCAAGTATATACTCTTTAGCTGTATTGCTGATATTTTAACTATGATGAGGTTATTTTGATGTTTCAGTGGTCACGAGAGGCAATTTTACTGACTTCCAAACATGACAAATATCGGAAACGAAAGATTTAGGCTTTCCATTTCTGGAGATAAGAATGTTTTGCTTTCTTTCTACTTGTTGGCTAGCTGTAAATACTGCAAAAATGATCATAGTCTGTCTCGCTGATTTAGTAACTTTCTATTATGATTTGTCATGATGCCAATTTCTACCTATATAATTGAAAAATAATTGTTCTATTGTGTCTTCGCATTATCTTATCAAGTATAATCACTCAGAACGCCTTTTACATGCTCTTGTTCTGATGCATATAAGTGTGACATACGATGGAAGCTGTGTTATCTATTTGTTAACTGATACTTATCCATTGCAGGTGTTGTGTTAAAGATTTGACCCAGCTGATGCCGTATTATTACAAGCCATGAAATTTGGTAAAACTCTTCTTATACTGCTCTACATTCTGCTGCTAAATAATTGCATTTTTCACTGTTACGTGCACCATTCATATTTTTTTGACAAATTGTTCGACCTATGTACCTATTGGTTATGTTTGTATACAAATACATAAGCATATTTTATGCATGTACATAATACAAAGCTGTGATCCCTGGTCAAAAGTTTGAGTTGTCCCTTGCTGGACATTTTTAATATCCAAGTAGTGAATTTTTTTTCTCTTTCAATTGTTTTATGTCATATTCCAATTGGACACTACTATCCAACCATTTTAGAATTATTTCCCATCAATTATAAAAATCTGATATTTTTTCTTGTTTAGTTGTATACTTCGAGAATCAAAAATTTACAGACAATAAAGGGCATGCAACCTGACTATGACCTTTTTTCTCCTGATCATGTTCTGATGCAAGCATATGTCTTCCAGGTTATGGCTGATACTCTCGCTGATATCAAATTTCAACATAAGCAGTAATTAGCAATCAACTGCATGCCTTACATTGACCTTACCAGTGTTTGTTCCATTGACATAATATTCAGTGTTGGCTTTACATTAACCTAGCTTTGCATAAGCATATACAAAATAATGAAATATTGGTCAAACGGGTAAAATGATATACTGTTGGCGAACACGGGAATTTAACATTGTAGATATATTGGAATATCTTTTTGTTATTTTTTAAGTTTTGTTTTGGCAATCCATTAGTGCCTGTAGTTCAGCAGAACAAATTATGGCTACTTGAAAATTGAAATATACTCTGTAGTATCAGTATGTCTTTTATTTGTTAAGCTACCATGGGAATAAAGGTCTTCTTCCCTTTGGCTCATGAAACGAATTCAAACCCGAACCGATAAACCATGAAGCTTTCTGCTACGATGCTTGACATTCAAAACTTTTCAATATGCACCTGTTTATTTTGTTCTGAGCTATGTAAAAATTGGTACGAATTCAATAAGTATAAAAGTAAGTAGCAAAAACCTTTCCGATACATCATATGAATGTTCACACATCTTCAATTTGCAATTTGTTCGATTTCTGAGTTTACATTAAAATTGCCACAATACACATGTACAAACACAATTGCTACATAAAGAAGGTTCCATGTCATATTGTAATACATAAGCATCAATCTGTTGGTTCTGGGCCAATGGGGATAAAAAATGCCATGCTACACAAGCAGGTTCTGAATCATGTACTAGTATATGTTTCATTGAAAATATATCAGTTTGTAATCTTGTTGGTTTGTCATTAATTTTTGTAAATTGCAATCCATTCAGGTTTTGTTAGAATTCTACTTAGTTTCTAACTGGATAATGTTTTTCAGCCCTTGAGGGTTCCAGCATATGCCAACATGCTGTTTATAGTTAGCCGGGTTGCAAGATTATTATTCCACATCTGAAAAATTAAGCAAAAAGTACAATATATGTACCAATGTAAATGATGTTAAACTGCACCGACTTGATTGGTTATGATATTCTTGTTCTATCCTTCGTTAGGTAGACTAGATAAGGCTGAATACCTGTGTTACCTGGGTATTTCTATCTGAAGCTGAACCCATACCCAACACATACCCGTATCAGAACTCATTGTGCACTCCTTGCATATATGCATACATTACGTGGTCATGCACTCAATGAAACAATACATGCTTTAATTTAAATCACTTGTCATACACTTCTTCTGACGTATGTCCTGCACATCTACTTCTTGAAACTCATTGGAAGTAGGTTAGGTTTTGAACTATGATTTTAATGGGTTGATTGGTTTCTAGTTCAAAAACAAGCAATTTTCCAATTTATAATTCACATAATGAAAGAAACATAAAGATGTTATGAGAATTTTAATTCTCATAACACGTGAATATAAAAATATTGATCTCATGTAAATTAATTTTAATATATAACATATATGTGTATATAAATATTTATATAGTTGTGTTCCTGCACCCCTCCCTTTTACAAACCTGATGTGCCCCATATCTGTACCCATACCCCATTTCCATGCAACATAGCTTAATACCAAGCTCGTTTATCTTATGTTCATTTCATCATATAACGAATCGGGGAAATATATCTTCAATTATGAATGGTTTTTTCTCATGATTTTCTTCTTAACAAGTTGATAGGTAGGTTAGATCATTGTTGTGAATTCTACTGTAAAGTTGAACGGTATATAAATTCTGATGTAGTATGTGGCTTTGAATAGAAGGGTTAATCAGATATCAATAGTTATCTTCACGTATTAATATTGAATCAACTTATCTTCGCTCTTGATTAGTGTTAATGTTGAATCCAGTTGCCTGTTAAATTGGTTGATAGAGTTATTCCTTTTTCTTTTCTTTATCTGCCTTTCAGATGAAATATTCTTACATCTCAACTAATTTTCTTAATTTAGTGATTTCTATTATTTTGAAAATAATGTATTATCATGTGTATGTTTATATAGGAATAGCATCTTCTTATCTTTTCTTGTTGATGTCTCAACAGTTATTCCTCATTGCTTGCAGATTCTCAATCACAATATCACCACAGTTATCCTGCTCATGAGCATGACACCAACGTAATTCTTCATGATAACAACCCCTTCATTCTTGCGAAAGATGACCATTTCATGATTGATACGTTAAATTTACGTAAAGAGGCTCTAAAAGAAGGGAGGCATGGTTTCACATCACCTATTGAGAGAAAGAGCTCCAGAGTTGCAGAAGAATGGGAGCAATATCTGGACATGGAGTATTCGACCAATATAAACAATACTGGTGATGAAACGGTCTTAAAAGAAAATTTCTATACTGACAAAGCTGTTACTAAAGTTGAAGTCCTAGAGAGGAGAGTTTGTATTGAAGATGATCATCACAATGTCAGAGATATAAATATGGACAAAGGGGTACAATCCTCTGATAAAAGTTTGGTACAAGAAGAAGTCAAAGATATAGAAGAAGCATGCCCAGCGCAATCTTCTACATCAAACCTGAATCTTGACAATGGATACAATGATTCAACAGGCAAAATCGCAGGCTCTTCTGGTGCATATGATTTGAAATACACTGTATTTGAGAGTTCAATTTCTATCCTTGATCAGGATCAAGTAGATCCACCTTCCGTTCTTCATAAAGATTTAGTTGGTAAGGCCACTGAGAATCCAGCAAATGAAACTTCTTCTTTTCATAATGATTCTGACGGGAAGCAGTCAATCGATAGTAAAGGCGACCTAGATTCAACTGAATCAATTCTCGGTAATATACCAGCTGAGGTTACTGAAAGTGTAGCTGTTCCAGTTCCTGACGTTCATAATTATTGTCATGAGAAGGGCTCTTTGGTGAGTTCAATTGACTGTGGAGGCAAGCTAGATGCATCTAAATCAGCTGTGCATAATATATCCTCTGATGTCGTTGAAGATCAGGTACTTCAAAGTTCAGTTGTTCCAGTTCCCGATGTTCATAATCATCATGATGAGAAGTGTTCTCCTGTGAGTTCAATTGACTGCAGAAACAAGCTAGATGCATATAAATCAGCTGTGCATAATATATCCTGTGATGCCATTGAAGATCAGGTACTTCCTTCACAGGAGATAACTACTGCTTCCTTGCAAGTGGATTTACCTAGTCAGGCTCTCCAAAATGATCAGAATCACTCTCTTGATGTACCAACGTTACAGGTAACCAAAAATGGACTTCCATTATTATTTTCTACTTTTTTTCCTGGTTTATGTGTGTGTGTTTGCGCGCGTGCTCATGGTGATTTTGCTTCTGGGTTGGTTTCCTTTACAATGTTATTTTTTTTGTCGTATAGAGGCTTGTATGTGTGTTTGCAGGGGCGGTTGGGTTAGTGGATTCATCCTTTGTCACTATGATAGGATAAATTTGTTTCTAGTGTAGTGGCAGTACATCTTGCTTATTTCTGAAATCATGGGATCTACTTTGAGATTGATGGATTACATACTGATTAGAATGTAGGAATGCACCTGTTTGTGATCAGACTGGCAAGTGATATAGGTAGAAATACAAAGGGTACGTTACAATAAACGCCCAAGAACTTTCAGCATTTTGCAATACACCCCCAATAACTTTCAACATCGCACTAAACCCCTGATAACTTTTGCAGAAAACCTTCAAATCTTGGGTAAATTACACTAAACCCCAATAACTTTCTAAATACCTTTTATGTTGTTTTTGTTCTAAGTTATGGGTGTTATTTGCAAACATGGTAAACTTACTGGGTGTTTGCTGCAATTCTAAAAGTTATTGTGGTTTAGTGTGGTTTTGAAAGTTAGTGGGGGCTTGCTGCAGAACACTGAATGTTCTTGAAGGTCTAGTGTAATTTACCCAAATACAAATGGAAGAATTTTCTTCCCTTCATTAGATTGACAAGACTAGGGAACAGATGATGTTGAAAGTACAAATGTGGGTGAAGTTTTAGAGTCTAAGTGACTTTGAGTAGGGTTGTTCGCACATGGACCCTCTGTACTGTCACAATGTGCCACTTATTATCCCTTATGTTTTATATTGGAAGATAGATCCCCTATAACTGAATACCGGTGCACCCTATACGCCTTCTCTCCTTTTGATGGTGCTGCTTCTGGTGAGTTTTATGGCAAAGATGAAGTGGATGGTGAGGACAGGAGTGGTGGATTGCGATAGTTCCAGGGGTAATAAGTGGCACAACGCAATAGTACAGGAGGTCTATATGCAATTAACCCTTTTGACTATGCAAGATTAAATGGAATATGATATGTAACTTTAGAAAATTTACGAGGAGGAAAATTCTAACAGAAAACTACACAAGATTTACATTTTGATTAGTAGCAATAAATCATGAATCCTTGTAAACTTAAGCTAGTGGCCGAGAATATACAAGATGTATCATTTTGATTGAGAGCAATAATTCATGTATCAACGAGTGCACTGTTAGGAAGGCTGTTATTGGAAAGGTTAAATCATGATAGTAAAATTGTAGAAGTGCTCTGGGAAAAGTGATCGTGGAATATATTTGTAAAGCTGAAGGGTAAATTTTGGAAGGTAGCCTGTACCGTAGCTGAAAATAAAATATTGAAATTGGTCACCTGCAATTTCACAAAATATAGGATGAAATGAGTGTTCCGTAAGAAGTTCAAGTTATGGCTTCCATCATGGGTAAGATGAGAAACTAATTTGTGATGTTTGGAAGCACTCAACACTACGCCTGTTAGTGGTTACTGATTTAGTTGTAGTGGATGACAAGGGGTGTATCAAAAGAAACTTGAAAAAAAGGCAGTGTAAGAATATGCTATTGTGCTCGTTTTCTAGAAGAGCTTGCTCTCAACAGCAGTGGATCAATGTAGAGGAAAGAAGGAGGATTTATTTGGCTGATGATTTTCTTTTTGAGATGTTCAGGTTGTAGCCTAAGCTCTAGTTTTTCCTGTGGAAATATCTTTTCAGTTTTCAGCACAAGCATAATTATATTGTTCTCCTTTAAGACTTACTTGCAGCAGATATCTATCTTCCTTCATAGACAATCTATATTCTGGTGCAATAAATAAATTGTTATCGTTATTATTATTATTATTTTGAGAATAAGGATGGTTCTGGTGCAAATAATTATTTTTTCTTGACATATAATTGACTGTACTTCTCTATGTCGTTAGCAGGACCTATTAAGAGACAGTAACTCAGCATCTAGAGCTCTGTCATTTCCTTCTGAAGTCTCTGCTCTGAGCAATGAGTCTAAGGAAATTCCTGCTAGCGGAGTCATTACTTTCAATTTTGACACAGAACCAGTATCAACTAGTGGGAGGCATGAGAATGAAGAAACTGCAAATAGTCAGCCAGCTGTGGCAGCTCAGAATGGTTTTCATACTGAAGAGGGAATTCTTGATGCTCCTTCATCTTCATCTAGATATTCATTTCTTCATCTTATGGAAGGAGAGTCCAGTTTATCTGGACCTTCTATTTTGTCGGGTCCAATAGCAAATTCCGGGCATATTCCATTTTCTGGAAACATTTCTCTTCGATCAGATAGTAGCACCACTAGTGCAAGATCTTTTGCGTTTCCCATGTAAGTAATGCTTTAAATTTGAAGATAATTGGCCTTAACAGAATTTTTCATCTGATTACACTTGCTAATATTTTTTTTTCTTTTAACACTTACCCTTGTCATTTAAGCGTAGCGCTCTGACATGCAACAAATATTCAATCATACTGTTTACTTTGTTGGTATAAAGCATTTTATGGTATATACTGGTACAATTAGAAGCGAAACATTCCAAAGTTAAAAAAAATGCTTTTTGTCTATTATGGAGTTGGAAGGCTTACTTATGTTGTGATTTCGGTTATAATGCTATGCATTGTAAATAGAAAGATAGAGCAGAAAAAGAAGATGGATACACGTAAGAATTGACAAAATTGAGTTAATTGGTGTAGCTAGGAGAATGAACGACACACGACTCAGTTGCTTAAATATCTTTCTTCTATTACTGGTTCATAGAAATTTGTTGCAGCCTAAATATAGTTTGGTATTTTGTAGTGCGGTAAACTTTCCCCACCAAGGAATCAAAATTAGCAAGTGCTCCAGGAAACAGAAGCATAACTTAGACATATATACCTGAATATGGTGAATATACGTCCTTTTTCATATTCTATATTGTAACTATGCATGACATCTCCTTTATACGTTAAATATTTAACCATGACTACTGTGAAATTCATGTGAATTACATTCTTTAACTGTAAAAGTGTTAAATCCCTCCTTGGAAGAGGTTTTAATGGCGTGTTATGCTAATGGCGTGTTATGCATTTGTTTTGTGTTCAATTATGTTTTACTTTAGTCATGGTTAGATGCACGTTTATTTGTAATTATTGTGGCCAAACAACTATTTTTTCAAGTAGGAATAGATGCACGTTTATTTGTAATTATTGTGGCCAAACAACTATTTTTTCAAGTAGGAATAGATGGTCTTTTCGACGACAGAATATTGTTGGATATTTGTTCTGTTTGTTTCTAAAAATTCTCAAATCTGCATAGAAGCTGTCAAATCTTTTATTCAGCCAAAACTTTCTTGTGGTTTCAGACTCCAATCAGAGTGGAATAGCAGTCCAGTTAAAATGGCAAAAGCTGAACGGAGGAAGCACAGAGGTTGGAAAATGGGGCTTCTGTGTTGTAGATTCTGAGTTCATTATTTCTTTCTTTTATCTCTAGCTTACTCCTTTATACACCATCAAATTTATATATATCCCAGCGACATATTTGTCAGAAAATTTTCTTCGTTGCTCAGGGCGACCATCCTGTCTGTTATGTTTATTTATATACAGCAGGTTTGATAGTGTTGTGTATGGTTTGTAGCATGTAAGTAGTTAGTGGAGGTGATTTTTGTGGTGGTTTCAGTTTTATGTTTCATAATGGGAGGGGGAAAGCTAAAATGCAGTTATTTACTGTAACTCCAGTCTGAAGACTTTCTTAGCTCTATTAATGATGTTGCATGACTGATCAGTTGTTAAAATGCAGTTGTTTATTTGATTGATTGATGATGTGCAAACAAATGTGGGAACGAGCTATAATCAAACGTTATGACCTAGTTGGAAAAAAGAGTCTAATTTCGATGGCTGTGTTGATATTAATCCTCATCGTTGAAGCTAAAATGAAGTGCTATTGAGATTGTTCAGTTTTGCCTAATTCACATGGGAGGATAAATTTATTCAATTTTCTCAATATAAAGTCACCCTCCTTTGAACCCCCTTCATGTTTTCTTGCATGTAAATTTCAAATTCAAGTTTAATATGAAAAAAACCCAGCATTCTAAATTGTCTTGTTCTTTATGATAAACTCCCTACATCTGAAATTGGAAAATTTTCTTCTTGAGA